TCACAGCGCGCGCCGCGCGGGCGGCGGGGCGGGGGAGCCGCGGCATTGTGACGTCACCCGGGGGGTTCCGGTACCGGCGGTGATGGCGGCGGGGCCCGAGCTGTGCCCGCACTGCGGGCGGCCCTTCAAGCGGCTCCGCGCGCACCTCCCGCACTGCAAGGCCGCGCCGGCAGCGCCGGCAGCCAGCCCCCGGCCGGCCCCGGGCAGCGCCTCGCGGCCCGTCCCCGGTAATGGCCCAGCTGCCCGCCCGAGCCCCGCCAACGCACCGGGATCGAGCGCACAGCCCTCCGCCGCCAGCGGCAGCGCCCCGGAGCCCAGCCCAGCGGCGGATCCCCGGCCGGCCCCCGGTACCGGCCCCGCCGCCCCGGGGAGGCCGTCCCGCGCGGTGCGGGCCCTGGCCCGCAGCCTGGACCTGCACCCCGAGGAGGTGCGGGACGTGCCCCGGCTGCTGCAGCAGGGCGTGAGGGTGGTGATCGAGCGGCACCGCGCCAGGCTGGTCAGGGAGAAGGAGCCGCGGAGCCGCGGGGGAGGCACGGAGCGCGGCCCCGCTCCCCGCAAAACTGCCCCGAAACCCGAGAGCAAGGAGGCGCGGGGCCGGGGAACCGCGGGGAGCGGCAGCTCCAAGGGAGAAAAAAGCACTTTAAAGGCAACACAGACACTGCAAGAGCCCGCTGAGAGCACGAACAGCCCCGCTGACCTCGTCCAGCAGGAGGGAAGAGACCAAGGCAGGGCAGGAGGGGAGCGGCTGCAGCTGGAAGCTGGGCTGGGCTCGGAGCCCCCCGCGTGTGCTTTGCACCCCCAGATCCTCCCTCTGTCGCTGGCAGAGGCACTCGCGGGTCACGGCCCGGGGACATCCAGAAAGGAGCTCAGCCTGCGGGGGGAGGCGGTGCCCGCGCCCGGCCTGAGCCCGGGCAGAGCCCCGGGGCTGCCTCTGCTCCGCACGCCCCAAACCCTGCCCGGCTGCTCGGCCCGCAGCGCCGGGGCCCGCGCCGCCGGCTTGGAGTGGCTGCCAGAGCTGTACCCTGAGCCCGCAGGGCTGGGGATTTTTCCAGGGAATCGTTGCCAGGAGGATGTGAGGGTCACGATGGAGACAGCCAGGGGTGGCTTGGCACAGGGGCAGCAAGGTAAGGAGAGTTTCCCTGCTGGGATGTGCTGGAATGGGACAGGAGGGGTAGGGAGTGGGAGAGAAAAAGTAGGGAATGGGAGAGGAAAATGCTGGGCTTGCCCAGGGAAGGATCCAGGAGAATCCAAGGAGGTTGAACTGGGCCTCCTCCAGCCTGCAAAGCCAATGGGTGATGTTTTTATGGAGCCTTGGACTGATAGAGCCCAAACTTTGTGGGGAGGTGATTCCCTCTCCTTTTCCCAGCCCAAATTGCTCATGCCATGCCATCCCTGCTCCCCTGGCAGCACACACCCCTCACTGTGACCGTGTTGTGTCACCTGCAGGTCCCCTCTCCGAGAGGCCCCTGATGGAGGTGAGGCTGGGCGAGCTGCACACCTGGATCAGCACCTGCAGCTTCTCTCCCCAGGGGATGCTGGGAGCAGTGCAGAGAGGTGAGAATTCCTGGCTTTTGGGGCAAGTCCATCCCACTTCCCTGATCTACTTGGCTGGGCCAAGTAGCCAGTCTGGATCTTTACAAAGCACAAATCATGGAGTGATGGAATGCTCTGTGAGGGACCATAAAGATGATCCAGTGCCATTCCCTGCCTTCCACTGTCCCAGGTGGCTCCAAACTCCATCCAGCCTGGCCTGGGACACTGCCAGGGATCCAGGGGCAGCCAGAGCTCCTCTGGGCACCTGTGCCAGGACCTCACCCCCCTCACAAGGAACAATTCCTTCCCATCCATCATCCCAACATCCATCTATCCCTTCCCTCTGGCACTGGGAATAAACAAACATCCCCAACATTTTGGCTCTGTAAAGTTGCAGGGAAGCAGTGAACCCCCAAGACCAGCCCATGATTTGTCCCTCTCCTTTCTCTCCCAACAGCCTGGAGCAGTTATTGTGCCAAGTACATCCACGTGAAGCAGGGGGGACCTGCTGGAATCTCTATGCTCCTGACTGGGTACTGCCTGCTCAGCTATGGCTGGAACTATCAGCACTTCAGTAAGACTTCCTATTTCAGGAATTCTTCTTTTTGCAGCACTTGGAAAGTCTGTTTAGCACCCCTGCTAATTAAAGCTCTGGAATAATTGAAATAATTTATTTAAGCACTCCCCATTTAAGACTTAATACCAGAGCTCAGAGAGCAGGATTCTCTAGGTGGGCAGAGGAGTTTGGTTATTTAAAGTGCTGACAGCAGTTGCTGACTCACAGCCTCTCCCTGGAGAGCACCAGGACTGTCAGGAGCACTTGGAAAAGCCCACACAGGGCAGAAGGAGGAGGAGTTCCAACAGGAGCTGCATTTCCTGACAGATGACAAGGGATTTGCTGGTGTTTGGGTGGTTCCCCCTGGCAGCACAGAAACAGAGAAGCAGCAGTTGGGCTGGAGCCCCCAAACAGATCCCTTTGCTCACCCTGGAATTATTTCCTCCCTGTTCTTCCAGAGCGGCACCGCTGGCGAAAATACCACTGAAGGAGCTGGAGCAGCACCCAGGGAACAGCCACAGCTCTTGGGGAGGCAGCAGAGCACCCAAGAGCAGGATTCCAGCAGGAATTCCCAGCAGCAGGGGCCTGGCTAGGGCTGGAGCTGAGGAGGAGTCCCTTTGCAGGTCGGCTTGTGTGGCAGAGAGGTGACAGGGACAGCCTGTGGCCGCCCCTCCGTGGCTCAGGCAGCTTTTAGTAGTGAAGTGAGAAAGCATTAGAGGCATCTGAGAGATCTGTGGGGGCAGGAGAGCTCCTGGAGGCTGCAGAGTCCCAGATCCCTTGTCTGGGACAGGGGACAACACCTTGTCCTGAGCTGTCATTAGAGATTATTTGACAATTCTGCTGTAGCTGAGTGGACTTCAACCCCAAGAACCATTCCCTTTAAATTCAGAGCTGTGCCTGGCTCAGCCCAGTTTGTACTCACCCCTTGTACTGGTGGGACCGGCCAGGACCTGTGTGAAGGCACTGGAGCAGCAGCTCAGACCACAACACCCTAATTCTGGGGAAGAAAAATCCATGGGATGAGGTGTTGTGCCCAAAGGGCAAACCTATGCCTGCAGCAGGCAAACCAGGACAGTCAGGAGTGCTAGTTGGAGCCTGCCATTCCCAGACACGTCTGGGAAAGGGTTGCTCATGTTGCAGGCATGAAGGGCAAAAAGAAAAAAAGAGCCAAGAATTAAAAGTCTGAGCTCTTTATTCTGCAGAGTGCAGTAGTGCTGTGACAGAGGTGTTGCACCAAAAACTCTCTCACCAGCAATAAAAACCTGTGTGGATTTTCCTTTCCTGCTTGGGTTGTGATCTCAAACGTGGTGCTTTGTGCCCCCTTCCCAAGGGATGAGCACATCCTCACCCCTGTGTCCAGGATCCTGCCCCCAGCCAGTCCTGCACCCCTTCAAACCTTGGGAATGCTGCTGCTGCTGCCCCGGCCTGCCCGCAGCCAGCAGTGCCAGGGGGAGCAGCCAGCTGTGGCAAGTCCTGATTTTCATTGCATGAAGTGATTTCTGTGCTCCTGTGCCAGCTGTGAGCTGGTGCTGGGCAATCCCTGCTGGCTTTCCCAGCCCAGCCGCTGCCCCGGTGCCGTGTCCGTGGTGTCCCGTGGTGTCCTCGTCCCCTGAGCTGTGTGGAGCACTGGAGTCACTTTCCCAGCAGCATTTCCGGCTGAGTCCTCCTGCTCTGGCTGGCACAGGGGCTGGCTGATCCTCTCTGGGGGCACAGGGAAGGGATTTGTGCTGGATCAGCCCCTGCCACGTCCCCATGTGTTCATTTTGACCCCATTTCCAAAGGAAACAGCACCCCAAGAGTTCCAACTACACCAGAAATCTCTGAGCCAGAGGGATTTGTTGTTCCCAGGGTTCTCACCCCTGAAATCCCTCCCCCTGCTGGTTCCCACCCCAGCTCCAAGGGGACAGGACCGAATACCACAAGGAAAAGACACATTCCCAGTCAAAGGCTGTTTTGGGAGCACTCTGGGAATCCCCAGAGCACCTGCTGCCCCTCACCCTCCCTCCAAGGCGAGACCACTGCTCCCAGCCCTCCCATTCCCCAAAATCTCTCACCTTGGAGCAGGTGCCTCCTTCCAGCACGCTCTGAGGGCTCGGGAGACAGCCACTGGTGTCCCACAGCTGAGCTGCCAGGTGCTGGGTGCCACGTGGAGGTGGCTCCTTGGCTGGCACATGCTCACCTCCCCTCTCCTCTGCAGCAGCCAGATCCCTCTGTACCAGCCCCCAAGGACATCCAGCTTCCTGGGGGAAAAGGGAGCAGAGGGGGCAGTTGGCATCTGCTGCCCCACAGCAGCTGGCGGTGGCTGCTGGGGCATCACCCCTGTGGGCACAGGGACAACAGCTTCACCTTGGATGGGTCTGTGCTGCTCGTCATCAGCCCGGCCTTGAGGCTGGAGGGGACACAGAGGACAGGCAGTTACTCCCTGTGGTGTCCCCAGACCCTCCTGAGGCTCCCACAGCCCCTCAGGGATGTCCTCAGATCCTCCTGAGACTCCCACAGCCCCTCAGGGATGTCCTGGAGTTGGTACAGGCACCTCCATGGGGAGCAGGGCTGTCCCCAGACCCCTCTGAGGCTCCCACAGCCCCTCAGGGATGTCCCATGGCACCTCCATGGGGAGCAGGGCTGTCCCCTGCCATCCGCAGCACAGCTGGGGTGTGGGGTTTGGTTAATTCAAACCCTTTGTGTCCTTGTCCCTGACCCTGCAAGGCCCACAGCCACCTCAGAGAGGGGATTTTACCCCCCCACCACATTCCAAGCCCCCCCAGTACATACTGCACGAACTTGCACTTGGGTCCCTCCGGGCAGAAGCCCACCAGGTAGTTGGCACACATCACCCTCCTCGTGTGCTTGTACTTGCACAGGGGACCTGCCAGGCAGAGGGGACACTCAGAGACATGGGACTGGGGAGCTCTGCTCTCCCTGCAGCCCCGAGCCCAAATCCCACCCCCGTGGGCACCACCCCATCCCCGCTGGGCACCCCCTGCCCCCGCTCACCCTGCCAGCAGAAGCCACGGTCGTACCAGGGACAGCGCACGGTGCTGGCGGTGGCACCGACGTGCAGGAAGGGACAGTCCTTGCTGCTGCACTCACCTGCGGGAGCAAGGCGGGGGACATTCGGGACAATGCTCACTCGCGTGGGCTGGATGAAAGGAATCGGGGTGCCCTGGGAACAGCCAGGTTTGGCTGGGCTGGGGGACAGTGACCCTGACTGCGTGACAGTGGCACTTCTTCCCGCAGTCAGGAGGTGGCATCAGCCGCTCGCTCGAGGCCAGCCCCGAGGGATGAGAGGGGTGGGAAGAGGCTCGCAGGGATGCCCAGCCCCGCACCTACCGAACTTGGAGTAGAAATAGCACTCGGGCATCCTGGTGGCATCGTAGTCGTGCAGGAATTCGCAGCCTTCGCCCCTCTTGCAGAGCCCTCGCAGCCAATGCTTGCACACCGCGGGCTTGGGGTGGCCCTGCACACCTGGGACAGCCCTGTCACTGCCAGCCTGTCCCCACTGTCCCCGCACACCTGGGACAGCCCTGTCACTGCCAGCCTGTCCCCACTGCCCCAGCCCCACTTGCATCCACAGCCCCAGGGCAGGGAGGTGAACCTGCTACTCCCAGTGCTGTCCCCACAGGGACATTGGGGACCCTGGCAGCTCCCCAACAGCTTTGCCAGCTGCATTCCTGAAGGAGCAGTGCCCAGAGCCAGGACAAAAAACACCCAGGTTTTGCAGGAGGACAGCAAGAGGAGAACCCCAAAAGCTCCCACAGCCCCACCACCCTCCAAAAATGCCACAGCCCCACCACCCTCCAAAAATGCCACAGCCCTGTCCCCAACTTACTGTCCACCCCCGGGAAGGGCAGGGGCCGAGCTCTGAGTTCCTCCACATCAGCCTCCGAGTCAAGCCTGATCTTCTCCACGCCAGCCACCAGCTCCTGCATCATCCCTGCTGCGGGAAGAGCCCGCTCCAGCCCAGCAGGGGAAGGGGAAGAGGCAAAGGAAGAGGCAGGGGCACTCCCCAAGGAAAACACAAGTCTCCAAAGGGAGCACCACACCCTGGAGGTCCCTGCAGCCACCCCAGCCCCCAAGAAAACCCTCTTCTTCCTCCTCCTCCCCAGGCAGAGCAGAACCAGCCCAAGCAGCCCTGAAGTGCTGCATTTAGAGGGGGGAGTTGCCCACATCTGATCCCAATTTGCAGCCCTGATTGCCTGATGCCGCAGCTGGGGAGCTCAGCCCCAGGCCCCAGGCAGCCCCTCTCAGCCTCCCTGCTCCCACATCTGCTTCTCCTCCAGCAAACCCGGCTGGAGCTGCTTGGGAGCTGGGTTAACCCCTCATTTCGAGGCCTTAAATGGAGACAGATATGGCCGGAGTGCTGGGACTGAGCATTCCAATAGCACGGGGTGGATGCTGGGTGTGTTTTGGTGTGCTCTGGGCACAGCAGCACCAGCCCCAGGCCTGCTTGGCAAGACAGACCCACATCCCTGGGCTCCTAGAAGGGGCCACACCTTGCATCCCAACGAATCATGGAATGGTTTCTTGTGGAATGCTCCTCAGAGCCCTTCTTGTTCCATCCACAGACAGGGACACTTCCACTGCGCTGCCCAGCAGCCCCTGCCATCCCTGCTTTGGGGCTTTCACTGGTGCCAGGCTCCAGTGGCACATTCTGGGCATGACCAGGGCTCTGTGGGTTTCCTGGAGCCCACCTGGAGCAGAGCCCCTGGATTTTTCCCAGTGCTCCATCCCTGCTCCGTCCCGCGGCCACGCTCAGCGCCCGTGGTGCCCCGGGCTGACACGGCCATGGAGCCCTGCTCCCATTCTGTCACTTGCCATCAGAGCACTGGAGCAGCAGTGCCACAGCGCTGCCCGTGGGTGCTGCAGGGTGCTGGGCACCCCGCGGCCGTGTGGGACAGCACGGGTGCCACCCCGGGGCTGTGACAGATGGCACTGTGCCCACCGAGGGCTTTGGGGAGGCTGGGGGTGCAGCCTCGCTGCCTGCTGCCGGTGCTGGCCGGACACTGGCGGTGCTGGTGTCACTCCCACCGGCCCAGCACACGTGGCACTGTCCCTGTCCCCGCTCCCTCCCGGTGATGCAGGCTGTCCCGTGGATGGGGCCGTGTCCCAGCTGCGCTCAGCAGCCCCGCTCGCACTTTCTGCCCCATCAGCTCCATCACCGCGGCGCTGCCGAGCCCGAGCCTGGAGCCGACAGGCGTCACAAAGATCAGGGCGGCCAAGTGACAGTGGCAGGCGGCCCGTGAAGTGTCACCCCAGGGCTTCTCCCCGCCCCACAGCCCCGGGGAGCAAAGCGGGCAAAGCCCAGGGACCAAACCTCGCTGCTTTGTGCCAGAGCACCCCTAAGGGACAAGAGGAGCCAGTTGTCCCCCAGCAGCCTGGTGACCTCCCAGGTGACAGTGAGCAGGATCACTGGCTCAGGGGATGGGACATGGGACCCTGGCACAGGGCAGGGGGGCACTGTGACCAGGGCAGAGGCAGCCTGCTGAGCTCAGAGCCTCCAGCTGCAGCTGCTGTTGTTCTCCCTGTCCCAGACAATGGCCCAATGTCCCCTGCCCAGGGTGACAGGACAGGACCCCATTGTGTCCCCACTGTGGCACAGCCTTTACCCGCTCCCCTGGCTTCTCCAGGGAGATCCATTTGGGAGATTTTTGGGGGGATAAATCATTCCCTCTCTCCAGTGAGGAGGCCAGTGCTCAGGGAAAGGCTGTGGGGCCATTCCTGGCACTTTGCCCCATCTCAGCCCAGCTCCATCCAAGGGATTGGAGGGGGAAGTCACTCCCAGCACTGGCAGAGCCCCATTTCCCCAGTGACTGAGCTGTGGGAAGCTGGCTGTGGGATCAGAGTGACTCCTGCTCGCTCTGCTGGGATCATCCAGGGCCACAGCAGCCCCACAGGGCTGGGAACCCCCAGGGCACCCCTTGGCCCCAAGCCCGTGGGAGCAGGGACAGCCAGTCCTGCCCCCCCAGCACCGTCCCCTCCTCCCCCGCTGGAGGGAGCAGAGCTGGGGGAGGAGAGGGCAGCGTTGGCAGAGCCAGCCCTTGGCAGGAGCTGCCTGGCCCGAGGGTCCCAGCCCCGAGCCAGATCCGGCCAGCAGGAGCTCTCCTGCTTCCTCAGGCAACGGGCAGAGAAAGCTCGGCCACGGCAGGTGCCCACACTGCAGCCAGGATGGGCAGCAGGGTGGGGGCAGCAGGACAGGGCTGGTGGCAGCACAGGGACACTGGTCCTGCTTGGGCAGCAGATCCCCACTGCGTGTCACCCCTCAGGAACTCAGGCCACTGCAGTCACTACCATTTCCTTTTATTCCTTGCATTTGTACATACACAGTATAAAACCTCCTGTTCCAGCCGCCTGCTCCCGCCACTGCCCGGCCCCATGGGACACCAGGATTCCAGTGGCTTCCAGGTGCTTCTCCCACTGGGGACAGACCCACACTTCCACCAGCATCCCTGGAGCTGGCTAGGAGCATCCCTGTGAGCCCCAGACTGGTTGGAGGGTCAAGCACCTGGGATGGAACCATCCATCCATCCATCCATCCATCCATCCATCCATCCATCCATCCATCCATCCAAGGGATGGGGAGCAAGCACCTGCCACAGCACTGGGATGCTCTTGGTCTGCAGAAAGTCCCCAAGAAACCCAGGAAGCTGGAGCTGCCCATAGTCCCAGGCCACCTCTGAGCTCCAGAGCCAAGTTCTTCCTCATGGGAAATCTTCCCTCAGTTAAAACCAAAAGAGACAAGAGAAAGGTAAGTACAAATCAGAAAACAGTAAAAACTGTACGGTGGAAAATATATATATATATTACTGAAAGGGCTAAAACTCCAAAAGCTCGTCTTGTTGGATCCTAAATCGCTTTACACGGGCAGGGGGGCAGGAGAAAGGAGCTAATATCCAAAGTCCAACAGAAAGAATCAAAATCGAGTCTGCTTCCCCCTCCCAGGAAGTGCTGGAGCTGTCTGGGAGCTGTCAGGAACGGCCCCAGCCCCGGGAGCAGAGCGCTGTCCTGCTGTAGCACACAGAGGGAACGAGGCAGGAGTCAAGTCTTCCCCAGTGCCACCAGTTGAGGTGTTCAGCCCTGTGTCCAAGAAACCTCAGTGAGAACCTCGGCTTGGCCTCCTTTATACCCGGATCTCGTCGTCATCTTCGTCAGCGAACGAGAACTCCTTGTCGGGGCGTTTCAGGGGTCCCCCCCGCTGGCTCGGTGGCCTGGGGACAGGGCTGCGCTCCTCGGGCCCTGAGGGGCAGCTGGACACTGGACTGCTGTCCCTGGGGCTGCGGCCACCAGCACCACGGGCCGGGCTCTGGCTCGGCGGGGCCGCCAGCGGGGAGCCAGGTGGGACAGGCTCCCCTTCCTCCTCTTCCTCCTCCTCGCGGCTTTCCTCCGCCTCGGGATCTTCATCCTGCTCCCACTGATCCTTATCCATGATGCTCAGCACGTCCCCGAGCATGGAGGGCCCCAGGTCGATGTGGAAGGACATGATGGACTCGGCGTGCTTCAAGCCCACGCCGCCCTTGGCCACCACCACGGGCAGGTCCGTGATGTCCCCGAAGTCGCGCTCGTCCAAGCCGGGGCTCAGCGGCCCCGCGGCCGCCCCGTTCGGGCGCTGCTGCTCTTCGGGGCTCACCTCCTCGGGCAGCTTCTTCACGGGGCTGGACGAGAGGCTCTTGGGCAGCTGCCCCGCGCTCCTGTCCACGTCCTTCTCGTTGAGCTGGGGCAGGGACACGGCGTTCTTGACGAAGAGCGCCGAGTCGCGCAGCGAGCCCAGCATGTCCCGCCGGTCCCCGCGCGTCACCGACTGCGAGCGCTTGCTGCTGCGGAAGCGGCGGGACAGCAGGCCGGGCTTGGAGGCGCCGGGCTCCTCTCCCGCCTCCGGCACCGGCTCCCCGGCCTTGCTGGTGAGGAAGGAGGTGTCCCCGAAGGCATCGCCGGCGCGCCCCACGTGCATGGTGTGGCGGAAGTCCCCCAGGGGCGCACTGATCATCTCGGCCGTCAGGTCAGCCCTGGAGCGGCGCTTGGAGTGCGCAGAGTTGGACACGAGCTGCTTGAGGATCGGCATGGTGGCACCCAGGGGAGGCTGTGCCACGCTGGGTCCTGTGTCCGGTGCTCACAGATGGGGCTGCGCAGCCGGGATGCCACCGGCGTCACGGATGGGTCACTCCTAGGGGAGAGGAGGGAGGGACATGGTCAGGCTTCAAGGATGTGGGTAGGGCACCAGATTTCATCCCACCAAGCTGCAAAATGGGACCCTGTGCCCACCAGCTGCTTGGCTCTCCGGGGAATTGGCTCCATGCAGGGCATCATTCCACATGGGACACATCCTCAGACCCCTCTGAGCTCCCCACACCCCCAGACCCACCCCTGAGCAGAGAGACCCTCAGGAGAAAGACCTGGGCACAGAAATCCCTCAGGATGATCCCTGACTCTGTGCCCCACAAGAGATGCAGGGCACCACGGGCACCCTCTGCCCCTCCCCGTGCAGCCCCAGCCCTCCTGAGTGGGGCACGGCAGCTCCAGCCTCTGTGAGCAGCACGCTGAGAAGATGCCTGGGATTTTTTATTTTTTTTTTTTCTAATTGGAAGAAAGCGGGGAGGAGCAGACGCCAGGAGGAATTGGAAACAGACGGCAGGAAGTGTGTGAGGAGGGCGTAGAGCCCCCGGGAGGCACCGCCAGCCGAGCAGGGGGACGGGGGGACCAGGATGGGGACCCCTTCATGCTTGGCAGGATGGGGAGGTGGGGACACTGCTTTGCTGCCGCCCTGGAGCCCCCCAAAAGCCCTCCGTGCTGCCCCTCGGAGCTGAGTCCATGTGTGACCATCCCCACCCTCCCCAGCGGTCTCGTGGTCACCGCTGTGACTCAGAGGTGACAGAAGTGACGAGGGCTCCGTCCGACCACAATGGCAACGGGCACAACCGGGCACGTTACTCCTTCC